TTCAATTAGACAAATTAAATGAGCACTTATTAAGAATATTCCAAAATTGAGAAAAATGTATAATAAGCAAAATCGAGGTGAAAGAAACTTTATTACCTGTAGAACTTATATTGCTCAGGACACCCATAATTTCTTCGCTTTGCCAGCATTTCTTGAAAGTGAGGTCATTATCAACCCAAGTTTCGTCCAAATAAATAATATGCCTTCCTTCTTCCCGGAACTTTTTAATAGACCTAAGATACTTGTATCGCCAATGTAAAATACTGGGTCTTTCCATTAGTAATTTCCTTTTGTTGTGGCATTTACGCCAGTAAAATCCTTTTGCTTTTAAAAGCAGCCTCAACGATTCTTTACCAAATGGAAATTCCATTTCTTCCTTCAGTTTGATTAGAAGTTTACTACAAGTAGGTACCACTTTAAAATCACAGTAAAATTTTTCTATCATTCTCCGAATAATGGAAAAATCGACTCCATCAATTTTTTGGATCACAGAAGGGCGTGATCTCTTTTTTCCGGGAGAAGCTAAAGGCTGTGTGGAGGTTGCATTTTGCCTGTCTTTATCTTCTTTTCTAATTTTACTTATAGTTCGTTCACTAACACCCGTATAATATGCCGCCCTTGCATTTCTAGCTACCAGTGGATAAACGAAAGTATTGTTAGCCGCTTCTGCATCGCAAGCACGTATCACGTTTGCTATTATTTCCCTTGCCTGGCTGTGAATAACTTTCCCATGCTTGAATTCCATTATCACCACTAAACAGTAAATTATATTTTCAAAGTATTTGCCAACTGCCTACGCCTATGGGAGTAGGTTTATAAATGACCGTGCCATCGGCACGTTATTCTAGTTTCAGATAAGATAAGAGTTTTGGACCAATCAGCGACCGGATGTTTACCTGCGGCCTGGGTTTTCCAGCTACATTGCCAAATTCAGCGGAACAATTCTATATCTTAAATATGTTAATATGTATGGACCGCATTTTATGTAGAACATCTGACAACTTCGCAATTTTTTGTCCGCATTCTTTCGGCTTGCAATCTTTCGCTGGTCCAACATTACCTGATGAATGTCGTGGAAAGCTATTTCCTGGATCATGCTCTACAGGTCTCCAGACATAAAACAAAGGACATGTCTGCAGGAGTACCCTAGGGATCAGTGTTGGGACCGCTTAAATAGAATATTCTTTATGAGGGCGTATTGAATCTCTTACTACCGGAGGGGGCAAAATGTATCGCCTATGCTGATGGATTCCACCTCCCGGTCCCCTACGACCACTAAAAAAAACTACTACTACCACTACTGATGTACAACACTTTAAAGGATAGAAAAGCAGATATATACTATGGCTGGGATGTGGTAACTTCATTTCATATGCACAAATAGAATTACAGGAAATATGTCAAATAATTTAGCAACACTTCTTCCAGCTTGGTGCAAAAGATATTTCCTATGATTTCTACATGGCAGTCAACTTGTTAAACTCATGTTTTCAAAAACATTATTTTCAGTAGGAAAAAAAATACCTTCAAAGTAGAAATCCAAAATAGTAAACGGTGATGGTGCACTTAACATAATCACATATTTAGGGGTTATTGCAGATTTAATGTGTACACAATATGTAATTCTGCACAAAAAAAATCTTGGATGGAGCACTTTTAATATGAAATTTTTTCCAAAACACAGGATATCGATTATCAATTCCAGGATGGAATGGATGCGAATTTTTACAGTGCTGCATTCTATTTTTAGTTCAATAATAGTGCATGATTACTGTGTATTACACACTGCTAGGTGAAATATGTCTCAGCATAATTCGAGACAGAAAAAACAAACAAGTGAAACAAACCAAAAAACAAAAATTCAAACATATTGGTAACATAATACAGATGTTACATTTCAAAATATTCTTGAAGGTCATATGGTTCTAAGTAATAACAATTGAAGAATATTCTTTTTTATATTATTTTATATCACAACCTCTTGATTTCTTGTGGTAACTTGGTAACTGGACATTTTTTTCAATAATTGTGAGAGGATCGACTGGATACCGAAGATTTATGTTTCTATTTCTTGTGTTATAGTCAGTTTGTGGGTTACCAAAAAAATTGTAAATATTTTTAAATGCAAAAATTAGTATCTCTTCAATATATATTACAGCTGCAGATCAAATTTTATGACTCTTAAATTTTCCTGTGCAAGTCTCTCTAGAGGAAATTTTTAGGATGCACCTCAGCATTTGCTTCTGTACTAGAAAGATCCTATGGTATGGCTACTATGTCTGAAAAGAATTACGCCAAAATGTGCAATGGCCTCAATATTAGCGTAATATACCAATTTTAGTGTCTTAAGGTCTAGGTACTTACTTAGCACTCTAATGCTATAGCATGCGTTGTTTAACTTTTTTCTAGATGTTCTGTATGTTTAGCCCAGGAAAGTGCTTGTAGCTTTGATTTTTTTTCTTAGCTTAAAAACAATCGCATTTTTTTGTTGAGTATCCAGGGATAATCCATAATGAGCAAACCAGAAAAACACTTGTTTGCAGAGATCGCACACAATCATAAGCTTTGGAGAGATTGAAAAATAGACTCAGTGATAGCATATTATATATTGTGGTTGAAAGGATAAATCGCTGTATTGATGGATTTCCCTTATACAGGGTGGCGCAGAGGAAACGCATGTTTTCTGACCGAATGGTATTTCGCACAGAATAGGGATATGACCTCGCCGCACCGCCAGAAGAGAACACATGCGATGCAGTTTCAGCCATGGCACCGTGGATGACGGAGCATCGTGTGTTTGCCGTCGAGCAATTTTTTCGAAACGATGATTCTGTAGTGATCGTGCAACGTTTATTCCGTCGACAGTTCAATGTTGAACGCCACGGGCCAATTCCAGATCTAAACACAATACTCCGATGGGTTGAAGCATTTCGAAGTACTGGATCCGTAATGAAGAGGAAGCCACCTGGCCTTCCCCGTACCGTGCGGACTCCAGGCAATATCGAAACAGTGAGAAGAGCGGTCCTTGATAGTCCCCAACGGTCCACTAGGCGCCAAGCTCCAACTCTGCGTATGTCCCGTCGGTCGTTACAACGCATTCTGCATGACGATTTACAATATCATCCGTACAAGATAATGATCGTGCAAGAGCTAACGGAAAGCGATTTTGCACAGCGTAGAGAATTTTGTGCGAGAATGCGGGCCATTTTTGCTGACGATCCTGACGTCGTCATAATGATGAGTGACGAAGCACACTTCCATTTAACAGGATATGTAAACAAGCAGAACTGTAGGTATTGGGCGGCCGAAAATCCACGAGAGCTACACCAACGACCCTTGCATAGTCAAAAATTAACTGTGTGGTGCGGAATCAGTAAATTAGGTATCGTTGGTCCTTACTTTGTTGAAGAGGAAGAAAGAGCAGTAACAGTTACTTCAGCACGTTATGTTCACATGTTACAAAATTTTCTGTTACCCGAACTTCAACGGCAACAAGTAAACATGGGAGAGCTGTGGTTCCAACAAGATGGTGCCACAGCTCACACAGCGAGAGCATCAATGGAATGGATTCGACAGATGTTTCCTGAACATGTGATTTCCCGTTTCGGCGATGTCCCTTGGCCCCCACGCTCCCCAGATTTGTCCGCATGCGACTTCTTTTTGTGGGGTTACCTTAAGGATAAAGTGTACCCTCACAAGCCTCGTACGTTACAGGAACTGAAAATTGCTATTTGTCAAGAAATTGCAAGAATCCCACAAGATATGATTTTACGTGTAATGCACAACTTTCAAGAGCGGTTGGAGATGTGCGAGCGCGAAGCAGGGTGACACTTGAGTGACGTTATTTACCATCATTAGTTTAAAAGTGCACTATCATTACTTTATTTAGCTGTAACTGAAACAAAGTTATCTTGAAAATAAAAAATGTTATGCTTAGGTGAAAATCGTGCGTTTCCTCTGCGCCACCTTGTACAAACCCCTGTTGTCACTCTGCAATCAAGTTATTACAAATCATATGTTGCATAATTCTTGGATACATCGCTAACTCAAAAAGTTTTACAAAACAAGAAAGTAAGCTTATTGGTCTATAATTTAGCAAGTCACTAGGATCTCCTTTTTTATATAAAGATAGAATTATGGCTAATTTAAATTTTTTGGGGAAAATACCATACCTAGGTGAGTTGTTCATTATGTGAACCAACAGTTTCAGAATCACTTCTAAGCAATATTTTAAATACTAACTTTATTGCTAACATCACCACTACTCATTTTATTTTTAAGTATTTTGCCCAGTTCTACTAGTTCTAGAGCACTAACATATTGTAGCAGAATACACTCTTGCACATGGTCTAGAAAGTCAGAAGAGTTATGTACTGGTGCCTGTGGTAATATTTTATTTACTTCAATAATACAGTATTTGTTAAAAGCACTTCAGGATCACCTGGTATAACACAATCATCTCTATTTTGACCTTTTATTTCCTTTACTATACACCACACACATTTTGATTTATTATCTGACTCATATATAAGTCTTTGATATGACTTATATTGGGCATGAGTTAACAAAAGATTGTTATTTCTTCCGATTTTGCTATAGAATGGTTTATAGGAATAGTCACTGTTGCTTATAACATACAGAACATCCAGTCAGACCCTACATTCCTTAATATTAATCTCTGTTTCCTAAGGATGTGGGTTAGGGAGCCTAATAACACTTTGTTTTCAATGATAGATTGAAATATACTGCTAAAATAATACCAGTTTGTTTACATCATTCGGAGGAATTTGAAGTAATTTTTGCTAGATCAGTTAAAAAAATCCATTTTCTGAACTGAATATTCTTTTCTATATAACATTATCAAGTTCCGATATAAAAAGTGTTCCATCCAAGAATTTTTGGTGCAGAATTACACATCACACTGTTGTGTACACATTAAACCTGCAATAACCCCTAAATACATGGTTATTTTAAGTGTACCATCACCTAGTAAATAAGCTCACCCTTTCCTCTCTAAGCAATTCATCTATAAATTCGTCCATATGAATCAATTCAAACTGTGCCTCACGATTCTGGCGCCTAAGCTTTCTGTTGTCATTGTACAAAGGCTCCAAATACTTATAGCTGTCTAATGAAGAACCTGTGAGCCTCATGTAGAATGCCCCCAAAGCTCTGACATACTTAAACTCTTCGTTCTTTATAAACTCGACTACAATATCCTTTTCCGGCTGAATTTGTAACATTTTGAGTATGAGGCAGAGGAATGGAGTAGGCTTGATGTTGCCCCCATATACACCGCCAATAAACCGCAATTCCATGGCTTTGTCCACCAGCAATTCTGCTGTAAGTGCGAAGCATTCTTCCTTCCAGTATTTAGAATCATATATCCTGGATCTGATGATTTTTTCTACTAGATACTGGGGGTTTGTCCCGTGAACAGACTTCGCGTCCTTTACTGTTCGGTTAGCCATAGCTTTGTTGTAATGAAATCCAAATTACATTATAGTAAACAAGTTCGGTTAAGAACTCATCACAGGCATGTCAAACAAATCCAAATCTGTCGAAAGAGGCAAAACAGCAGAAAAACTGGAAACAGTAGAAACACCAAACAAATCCACTTCCGCGCGAAGTTGAAGGTTAGATTTTTTGACAATCGTTGACGTTGACAAATATACAATATTGACAGCACCACGACCACAAAGACTAGAATTTAATCAAATTCAAGCGGATAACGAAATGGAAATAGTATATACCATTTTGGGTTGGTATTTACCGATCCGTTCAAGCGAGTGTAGTTATCAGTTTGGTTATAAGATCCGTGACGTCACGAATCAGCTGTTATATCTCATAGTTATCACCGCAAAATTGTGGTATTTACCCAACTCAAGAGTAGTTTTATATTTCTGGTTATTATTTGAAATGTGACAAGTTAGAATTTTGCCGGGTATTGGATATTGTGATTGTACCTCAGCTTCATTTTTGAGAAAATTGATACAGGCTAACTTCAGTTTTACCATAAAGTGGAGCACCTTATTAGTGATACTCATTAAGGTTGTTGGGGACACTTTAAATGTAGTTCCTATGCTTAACAAAGTATCCTGTGTAGCCATATACCACAAGAATATTAAAATATGGCCATATACACTCACTAGATGATATCCACCTGTGTACGGTTTTGCTAATTTCTTTTTTCATCATTTCTGCTGAATCAATAAATGTTTTCTTTGACATGCGGAAAAATTTAGAGAATTGAAAGTTATCATAGCTACAAAGCCATGGTTCCATCATTAAAAAAAAATCTGAGAAAAACATTTCTCCCATGAATATTATGAAAGGTTTCTTATTTAAACTTTCCATAATATACAGTTGTAGACGAAAAAGCACCGATTATTAAGTGATAATAAAAATAATCAGAGATTATATACGCGCTTTTCTAAAATAAACAACTTGCAACAAAACCGCGGTTAAAACCAACGCGTTCAAGCGATTCGTGTAACTGACGTCATCAACCCGTGAGTCATCTTGAACCATATTATAACCGCGGCACATAACACAGAAATTTTGGTTATTCGCTTGGATTTGATTTTTGATTATGAATCAAAATGGTATTTACCATTTTGGGTTGGTATTTACCAATCCGTTCAAGCCAGTAATCAAATTCAAGCGGATAACCAAATGGAAATGGTATTTACCATTTTGTGTTGGTATTTACCAATCCGTTCAAGCGAGTGTAGTTATCAGTTTGGTTATAAATCCGTGACGTCACGAATCAGCTGTTATATGTCATAGTTATCACCGCAAAATTGTGGTATTTACCCAACTCAAGAGTAGTTTTATATTTCTGGTTATTATTTGAAATGTGACAAGTTAGAATTTTGCCGGGTATTGAATATTGTTATTGTACTTCAGCTTCATTTTTGAGAAAAATGATACAGGCTGACTTCAGTTTTACCATAAAGTGGAGCACCTTATTAGTTATACTCATTACGGTTGTTGGGGACACTTTAAATGTAGTTCCAATGCTTAACAAAGTATCCTGTGTAGCCATATACCACAAGAATATTAAAATATGGCCATATAAACTCACTAGATGATATCCACCTGTATACGGTTTTGCTAATTTCTTTTTTCATCATTTCTGCTGAATCAATGTTTTCTTTGCAATGCGGAAAAATTTAGAGAATTGAAAGTTATCATAGCTACAAAGCCATGGTTCCATCATTAAAAAAAATCTGAAAAAACATTTCTTCCATGAATATAATGAAAGGTTTCTTATTTAAATTTTCCATACACAGTTGTAGACGAAAAAGCACCGATTATTAAGTGATAATAACAATAATCAGAGATTATATACGCGCTTTTCTAAAATAAACAACTTGCAACAAAACCGCGGTTAAAACCAACGCGTTCAAGCGATTCGTGTAACTGACGTCATCAACCCGTGTGTCATCTTGAACCATATTATAACCGCGGCACATAACACAGAAATTTTGGTTATTCGCTTGGATTTGATTAGTGTAGTTATCAGTTTGGTTATAAGATCCGTGACGTCACGAATCAGCTGTTATATGTCATAGTTATCACCGCAAAATTGTGGTACGAGTATTTACCCAACTCAAGAGTAGTTTTATATTTCTGGTTATTATTTGAAATGTGACAAGTTAGAATTTTGCCGGGTATTGGATATTGTTATTGTACTTCAGCTTCATTTTTGAGAAAAACGATACAGGCTGACTTCAGTTTTACCATAAAGTGGAGCACCTTATTAGTTATACTCATTACGGTTGTTGGGGACACTTTAAATGTAGTTTCTATGCTTAACAAAGTATCCTGTGTAGCCATATACCACAAGAATATTAAAATATGGCCATATAAACTCACTAGATGATATCCACCTGTATACGGTTTTGCTAATTTCTTTTTTCATTTCTGCTGAATCAATAAATGTTTTCTTTGACATGCGGAAAAATTTAGAGAATTGAAAGTTATCATAGCTACAAAGCCATGGTTCCATCATTAAAAAAAAATCTGAAAAAAACATTTTTCCATGAATATTATGAAAGGTTTCTTATTTAAACTTTCCATATACAGTTGTAGACGAAAAAGCACCGATTATTAAGTGATAATAAAAATAATCAGAGATTATATACGCGCTTTTCTAAAATAAACAACTTGCAACAAAACCGCGGTTAAAACCAACGCGTTCAAGCGATTCGTGTAACTGACGTCATCAACCCGTGTGTCATCTTGAACCATATTATAACCGCGGCACATAACACAGAAATTTTGGTTATTCGCTTGGATTTGATTATAGGAGGTTAAACTCATACAGTAAAGTGAAGTCAAAAATGTCGGCCATGAAGTAAGTTAGTTCACTGCGCAGGAAATCAATTCCATGTTCTGCGCATAGGGCATCTTTATCGGTGCTTTATCGTGTGTAGGCTGCGAGGAGTTGCAAGCAGAAATATCTGATAATATTAATGAACTACTAAGTAATAAACCTACAAAGCATGGCAAAACCTGAGTGAAATGTACATAAAGTCTTTACACCTACTGAGCGAGGCCGTGGCAAATGCTTGTTCCGGAATTTGTTGTATCCAGTATACAACTTCTTCCCAATCAAGTGATTGTACACGCGTTAAGGAATACCTCAGTACCGATTGCCGGGTGGAGGTATAAGTCCGCCCACGGGCCACTTTAAATCTATTTAATATCATTAACATGCTAAAAGAGGGTGGTAGACAAGGACCAGTCGACCGAGGTGGTACCACCCGCTAGCCTTTCTCAGGGTGTCTTATAAATGTCCGCATGTTTCCACACCTGAGCTATGCTGTCGGTCATTTTGCAAACAAAGAAATTAATGATGATGGATCCCTCTAGCACTAAGAATTCGGGACGTAAACTCACTCCACTCTCGGAATGTCCGGGAGGTTGGTTGACTCGAGAGAACAACATCGAAGATATTTGTTTCGCGAACATCTGCGGGATTAACAGCAACATTGATGCTGTTTATCACTACTTGCAATCCAATCGTCCTGCCATGATTTTCTTGGCAGAGACAAACATCTCGGAGCCTGCACCGTTTAACCATCTTAGCTTTCCAAATTACAAGGTGCACTCCAATCGGAGAAAGAACGGGGGAGTTGTGACTTTTGTCCGCAGCAGTCTTTTCTGCTTCAGAGATGTTTCTGTGGAATTAGACCGGAAGGACATGCTGTGGCTTCGCCTCAACTCCAAAACGTCCCCCAAATTTATTCAGAGACTTCTCTACCTTTCATTGGAGATATGTCTGTTTCACTAACGCGGATGCGTCGGCTGTCTGTTCTTCGATAACAGAAATTATACACGTTGGAATTTAGGAACACATCCCTCATACAGTGAAAGTGCCTAAACCAGGATCCAACGGCTGGTTCAACAAATCATGTTACACTGCTCGCCAGCAGAACATAAGGCACACAAAACCTTCTTACAAAACTCCACTGTAGAGAATAGACAAGCCGACCTCGAGTCCAGAAACAAATATAACGAAGCGGTTCGCAATGCCAAAAACCAGCACGATTTAAAAGTTAGTCACAGGGTAATGTATCAGATTCAAAGTCCAAGGCGGAAGTTCTTGCTAAGATCATTGCTGCCAACTCCCCCTCCCCCCAACACCCAAGTGCCGTGAATTCAAAGGGTTCCCTACACTATGCGAGAGGTAATATTCAGGCATGATTCCGCAAGACGTGTATTCTTGTCGCTCGACATCAACAAAGCTTCTGGTCTGGACTTGATTCCTGCAATTTTACTGAAGATGTGTGCAGCGGAGCTTGCTCCAGTTCTTTCCCGTCTCTTCCAGATATCTTATGAATCCGGCACTTTCCCAGAAAACTGAAAATTTGCTCATGTCCAACCCATTCCAAAAAAAAAGGATCTAAGACCGACCCTTACAACTACAGGCCTATATCTCTGCTTTCTGATGGCTTGATTAGCGACAGGCAGTATGGTTTCCGGCACCAGCGATCCCCAGAAGACCTCCTAGCTTACATCACGCAATTGTAGAGCAAAATAATCATCCAGTCTTATGGTGAGGCTCATGTCGTTGCTCTTGACATCACGAAAGGGTTCGATCAGCTGCCCTCTTAAGCAAACTTCTATCCTATGGCTTCCCAGAAAAGCTTTGCAGGTGGTGCTGACTTTATCTCTGGCCGCAAGATATCCGTCGTAATTGACGGGTTCTCCTCTTCATCCCACAACGTGAACATGGGTGTTCCCCAGGGATTGGTCTTGACTTCGACACTGTTCCTCTTACATATCAACGACCTCCTTTCCTGCACGATCAATCCGATCCACAGCTTCGCTGATGACAGCACTCTACATGCAGGAATTCAGAGTGACAAGCCGATCTCCGCCTGAGCTAGCGACGACGTCCGCTATGACGAGAGACCTGGAGGTTATCACTGCTTGGGGACGCCTCAATCTTGTACAGTTTAATGCTTCCAAAACACAGTACTGTATCTTGACGAACAAAAAGCTTCCTAGTGCTCATCCGGTTTCTATGGATGGTCGAGTTCTGCCAAAGAGCCATTCACTTCAGTTGGTCGGAGTCCAGGTAACCGTGGACCTGATCTGGCACGAGCACATCTCGTAAATAGCGGCAGCTGCTGGGGAAAAGCTAGGCTATTTGTTTAGGGCTAAGAAGTGCTTTTCTCCGCATGACCTTTTCACTCTATACAAGGCCCAGATAAGGCCTAGCCTCGAGTGTTGTTCGCACGTTTGGGGTGCTGCTGCCCCGACTACATTATTTATGCTCGATGCTGTCCAGAGGAGGGCTGTCCGACTGATCGATTACTCTTCTCTAACAGACAGACTCGGGACCCTTTCGCACCGGCGGGCCGTCGACGCTCTAGCTCTCTTCTACCGCTACACCAACGGGCTTTGCTCCTCGGAGCTCTCTTCCATGATGCCGTCGCGCGATGTGCCTGCCCGACAGACCCGTCTGACTTTGACCTCCCATCGTAACCGTGTCGAGCTTCATTACATCCAGAACTATGCGATACGACCGCTCCTTTGTCCCGCGGGTGTCGAGACTGTGGAACAATCTACAAGAAGAAGCTTTTCCCAGCTCTACTAACCTTAGGTAGTTCAAAAATCGTATTAACAAAATTTCTTTGGGATCATCATAGCAGCCGCGGTGTCCCGGCATTTAGGCTTCTGCCTGCGCGGCTGCTTCGGTATAAAAAAAAGTTTGCGGAACGCTATGTTGTCATTTTTCTAAACCCTCTAGATTTCTGAGAGCCACACCATCCTTGGCGTCAGGATTAAACGTGTATCCCTTAAGCAGTTTAACCTCCTATCTCTAGTCTTCGTGACCATCACAAATGTCAAGACTAGAAATACTCGTATGATGCCAATCCTGTCGCCAGGGAAGGCGTGGCTCTCGAAAATGTGCCTCCCTTTGGCCTCCCATCCTGTCAGGTTTATTGCGTATGTCAAAAAACCTCTAAAATGTAAACTTGTTGACAAAGTGGGCTAGGTGCGGATAGTTCATTCCGCTTGCTACAGGTGAGCATGAAATGAACGACAGCTAGTTCAAAGTTGACGTCTTGTAGGAAAATCTACAATATGTCAAAAAAGCAGCAATACCACTTTTCAAGTTACGTAACACCCCTATGTATGGAGCTTCGCACAAGCTCCTATAGCAGCCACGGGCCCTGGCATTTAGGCTTCTGCCTGCGCGGCTGCTTCTGTGTAAAAAGAATCTAGTGCGCGTAGAATATGGCATACAGCGCTTGTTTCCCGAGCTGCTTTCCAGTGGCCCTGTTGAGTTAGCCTGAGTAACTCAGTAGCGTTCAGCACCAATACCGTTCCACTGCACCTTGTATTCTCATGCTCTGTTCCTCGTGCAGTTCGGGAACGTATGATACTCAAACCAAAAACCACTAGAAAGCAAGGTCTGGTTTACAGAGAGAGAGAGAGAGAGAGAGAGAGAGAGAGAGAGAGAGAGAGAGAGAGAGCGAGAGAGCGAGAGAGAGAGAGAGAGAGAGAGAGAGAGAGAGAGAGAGAGAGAGAGAGAGGTGCCACATGCGCAAAGCCTGAAATTCATTTTGTGCGCAGTCTATATACGAGGGCGATGCAATCTGTGTTCTTACGACATAGCTCGTTTTCGTCGTCGACACTTTTGGCTTCACCCCAATCTGAGTTTAACCTCCTGCCCCTAGTCTTCGTCTGTGAAATATTGTAAGAACCAAAAAAACTAGAGGTAGGAGGTTGAACTGCGTATTCTTATGAAGCCAATCCTGTCACCAAGGATGGTGAGGCTCTTTGAAGTCTATTGTGCAAAGAACATGGCGCAGAGCGTCTGAACATTGAAAATGTCAAGATAACCTGCCGCAATCTTTATGTGCTTTTCAGTAACGTTTTGCCATGCTTCGTAGATTTATTCATTCGTGGTTTATTATTGTCCAATATTTCTGCTTGCAACTCGTTCAAACTGTCAAAGTTGAAGTTGTTTACAGTCATGGTGACAGCAGGAGAGATATGCCACATGCGCAGGACCTGCAATTCATTTTCTGTGCAGTGTACACATGAGAGAGATGCCCTATTCGCAGCACCTGAATGAATAGACGGAGTGAAACGATTCTGATTGGCGCCACTAGAGTCGCTATCATATTTTTGATTCCATAGGCGCCCGTGAATTATTTTTGATAGTGTCAGTTGTGTCCACCCCTCTTAATGACGTAAATGTTTCAAGTTCGAAATCACAGTTTGAAATATAAACAAGACAGCAATATAATCAATTATTGTCTTTATTTCAAATTAAACCAAACATACAACATAAGTTAATAAAACATTACAACCAGGGCCGCCTGCAGGCAGTAAGCAAGTGAGGCAGCCGCTTAAGAGCGCAGTGTCATGAGGGTCACAAAATACTCAATTAATGTGATGGGACCGCGCATATTTCATCATTTGTCTCATGGCGCACAAAACTCTGAAGCCGGCCCTAATTACAATTAATACGAAAGTTAAAGCTTACAGAATAATATAATTTCAACATATACAACATTCCTTAGCCAAAAATATGCAATAAATAAAATGATCAGTTGAATAAAGTCGAAGGTATAGCAATAGTGTAGAACTATATGGTCACCTTGATCATGCCACATGATGCTTTCTAAAGTATAGCTCTTCAGTAAAAAGGGAAATACGTATTTATTAGTATGCAGATACATGTAGAGTATATTGGAGTATGATAAAAATTACATGATAATATTTCATGATGATATAGAGAAAAGTGTAAATGGTAAATACATAAGGGTAAATTAGATGATATGTAGCTAGTTTTAAGTTTTGATGTTCCAATTTGATATTAACTGAAGATTGATGGAAACCTTCAACTATGTTTGCCTATAAAATAGACTAAAATGAGGATGATTGGAAGAGTTACCGCTATATACATATGCTGTATTAAACTTATTGTATCAATTTTTTGCTGTACGTAAATATCGAGTAAGCACATGCTAAAATTGATTTTTGATGAGGAAAAACAGTATATCGAGATTTTTTGATTTTAGTTTGCTGGGGTATTTTCAGGACAGAGTAACGTGTTAGACATACAATGAATCGAAGTTCACTGCTAATATGCCTGCCATAAGTTTAGTCACCATATCTCACCTAATAAAAAGGCTTAATTTAAGTTAAATTTGTAGTTGCCAACAGGGGATTGAAAGCAAAAAGAATTTCACCCAATAAGAGCATCTACAGATCAAAGTATTGAAACCCAACCAGTCATTCAAAATTTAATGGGGCTGTACAAACACAACACTCGATATGAGAATCAGAAAATCAACAAGGAACCATTTTTCGACATTCTAATTCGACCACCATCTGTCATAACTTTCGAGCATTACAAAAGTGTGGCAGACATGAACGCAAAAATGCCAAACAGTATAGGTAAAATATACAAAATCAAAAAAATATAACCAGCTACCAATACAACTATTAATTTCTAGTAGATCTTAAGCAAAAACCAATAACAAAGTTATCTTACATATACAATATACGCGCTCTGTCAATAGAAAAATATACAGTAGGTAACTGCTGCCTTATTGGGCACAGAAATACTTTTTTGAGGGGTATACTAAACAAAGTACCAGGCACAAAACATATTCAATTTGATCACCGGTCCATTTTAAAGGAAATTCGTATAGTAATAGTTCATGTTGTGCTGATCAAATGTTCCAATGGACACAAAGTCCAGAAATGCTTTCTGTAGGAGATATAGGATGTTCAACAATAAAATTGGAGTAGATTGGACAAGTAGTTCTTGAGAATTTCTAATTGTTTATCCCAAAGCACCTGTTTTCCGGCCACCACTACTAGTTTATTGAGCAATATACAGGGTTAGTTCAAAGGCATTTTATAGCAAAATGAACTAGTTTACCTTGCCGATATGAATAACAAACCAATCCAGAAGATAAATGTTATTTTTATGGAAAAAGGATGGGTTACGTTTTTTCTTCTAAACAAATACAAACATTTCGTATTTTTGAGTAATTCACAACAAAAGATGATAGACACATCCGCTTTGTTTTAAAATGTGTATAGTAACGTGTTTTTCGAATATCGTAGGGCATTTGTTGAATTACTCACAAATACGAAATGTTTGAATTTGTTTAGAAGAAATAAAAACAGTAACCTTTGTTTTTAGCATAAAAATAACATTTACCTTCCGGAATGGTTTGTGATTCATATCAACAAGGTAAACACGTGTATTCTGCTATTACATGCTCTTTGAACGAACCCTGTCTATTGCTCAATAAACCAGTAGTGTTGGCCGGAAAACAGATGTTTTAGGATAAACAATAATTGGAAACTCTCAAAAAATTGTTACTTGACCAATATACTCCAATTTTGTTGTTGTTATTTAGAAGTATGAATCCTACGGATTTGAAGAATTTCAAGTAGTTCTGTGAAATTATCGTAGCCTTACCAACACGTGCCAAAACCTGCATTTTGCCACGTTTTTTGGCCATAACAATTTTGCTAATAGTCGGATCTTTTCACGTGTGGTCTCATTTTGTAGATCTCATAAATACCTAAAAATCTTATACGATAAGTTGTGCCGTTCCAGTCAACACTTTCGAATGAATCCCAAAAAACAAGTTTTCTCATTCTTTGTTGTCATATAAAGTTTTTCCACAAAAATTGGTGTACCCATTTTACGCGCCAATGTTCTAAATACCCCCTTGAACAACTTGCACCAATAAAACAAGGCTTTACAATTATTTTGGGGAAATTTGCTAATATGATTAGACTAGAGATAGTTTTCATAAAATGGTGCAGGAAGGCGTACACGCACGGGTTAAGGCACCAAACTTTAATACTCTGTATCACCAATAGAAGGTATTTCTAGGCCTTGTGCATATTGGAACATTTGTTCAGCACAACATGAACTATGACTATTTCTTTAAAATTGACTGGTGGTCAAATTTCATACGTTTTGTGCATGGCACATTCAGCTGAGTTGCACGGCTCATGCAAAAACTAGTCAGTAATTTCAACTGTTCCTGAGACGCTTACTTTTCAATCCACAGAGCAATCAGTATTCGAGCTATATAAAATACGATGTAAAATTTGATCCGTTATATAAAATGGTCCATTTTCGTATAAGGCGTTAACAATACATAAAACAATAAGTTCTATAAAAGTGGCACTGTTGAACATTTTCGAAAAGTTTTTTCTATCAGAAGATCCTTTCTATATAAGTATATCCACTCTGACTAGATGCACTTCACACATATTCTTGAGCAAATTTTAATAAAAGCCAGGAGGTAAAAATGTTCACAGAGTGCGAGATTACTCGTATTACATGAAAAGAATTATTATAAAAGTTTTTACTTTTTACTTTCCAAAACTGACAGAATTATTCTCACATTAATACTACCTTGTTTAATAATAGTCTCAGACTCATAATATAGAATTATCTTTGAAATCATAACGAAACAAATTTCATATATTCGTTGAGTGTGAAAATGTGAGATAAATAACCTCCCAAAGTCAAAAATAATAATGAACGATTAGATTTGTTTTAATGGAAACACTGATTTCCATTAGCACAAACTTACAATTACACAATAAATCGATGTCTATGTATTGTTGGAAAGTAAATAGTAACATGAAGAGTTTAATCTATAGTGTAACATGACTTAATATAAACAAGAATTTACCTAAAAGAAAATGCATGTTCGTTCTCAATCGAGTATTTTTAGAACGTGTAACGTGTATACATATACATATAGAATCTCTGAAGTAATAACAATAAATTAACAATATATTAGTCAATATTAAAATTCAACATAAAAAACTATAAAAAATATACGGTCAAGGCACTTCGCTTACTCGCGCAGACGTTGAAAATAACGCAACCGGCGCTTGCAGATTCTTTTCATATAGTGGTTTTGGAATTTCCGCCCAAATATCCACAATAGTTGTTCTTTTACAATGGCCTGGTGAAATTTGCCGGAAACATACCTTTTTCGCCAGAAGTTTCCTTTACACCCATCAGCCAGCCTTCTTCCTGTAAAAGAGGAAACATCATTGTTTCATTTATAATCATGTGGAGTATACAGGGTGGCCGATATGTAACTGACAGGTTTATATCTTGAATATTTATGAAATGAAATACGTCAATTTTTTTCATCTTAATCTTTTATTGAAACTTAGAAATTATGTATGAAAAACAATATCAGACAAATTTCCGCCTCTAGAAGCCGCGCAAGTCTGATCCCTCTTAATTATATTTTCCATCAGTTTTTAGTATGTTTCAGGAGGAACATTTTCAATCGCTTCTGTAATATTGTCCTTCAGCTGTCAGGAGCCGTTAAATGCGGTGATCTTGGTGGCCAGTTAACATCACCAAAGCGAGAAATTAAACGTTCCGGAGATATTGTTCGCAAATGATTCATTGTTTCCCTAGCTGTGTGACAAGTTGCTCCGCCCTGCTGGAACCAGATGTTTTGCAGGTTTAATTGTTGGATTTGAGGAGCCAGAAAGTTTTGTACCATATTACGGTAGCGCTCATCAGTGACAGTAAGAGAATCACCTGCAGCGTCTTCAAAGAAGTAAGGTCCAATGACACCAAATATCGCACCAAACTGTGACTCGACGAGGATGTAGTGGTCGTTGATGGATGATACGAGGGTTCTCTAATGCCCAGATACGACCTGCTTATTAACAAATCCGTTCATATCGAAGTGGGATTCATCACTCATTATCAGTTGTCGTTAAATCGTTATTTTAGGTATTGAGCTGCAATATTGCATGACTGTACTGTCGACGACTTTCACGGTAGTTCTTGGGTTAACCGAATTTTGTATGGCCGCAAATGCGTCTTTCTTAAAATAGTGCCTAATGACGTGCTACGAATACCCAGTTCTTGAGAACGATGTCTGGTAGACGTCTTAGGGCGCTTCACTACACTTCCACGAACACTCTCGATATATTCCGGAGTACGAACAGTTCGAACACGGCCCGACCTTGGCAAGTCTTTAACTTCGCCTGTCTGTTCAAATTGCTGCACCAAATGACGAATGGTGTTAACCTTGGGCATATTATTTCGACTGAAATCTTCTTCAGAATCGTTTCAACAATCTACTCATTATTTAAGTACAACGTTTTAATAATACGGACGCGTTGTGGGATCCCGTAGCGCTCCATGATGAATTGGAGACATGTGCTTCAAACAACAACTACGGCGCCACTTACTAAGCCGCGTGTATCAAAAATGGCGCGCAATTTAAATCAGTCAGTTACATATTGGCCACCCTGTATTTATAAGAAATATATGGCCAGCGCTGCTTTTGTTAATCTAAATCAGACACTGCTGGTGCTGTCAAAATGGCAGTAAGAAAAGTAAACGTGTATATTAGCCAATTTCGAACAGGTTGTGAGGACTTTTTTGTTATTTTTTTTTATATAAAGTGAATCACTATATATGGTATCGAACTTTTTGAATACCTCAAAAATACTTAATGATTGGTTATTAAAAGACAGAGTCAATTCTTATCACAAGCTCCCAAATATTCATGCAGACAAATTTCATTAGACGATTTGATCACCCTTTAGCTTCGGTAACCACCTAAAGGATTTTGAAGAAACGAAAGTATATGAAATATAGCTTGCCTGTTCTTCCGGATCATCATATTCGATGACATTAATTATTTCACCAACTTCGAATGACAATTCATCCACATCTTCTCGGTTGTACTTGTATGTAGCTTTAACTCTGTATAGCACGCCTGGAGGAAGGTTATCTGTGGTTGCTCCTGATAAGAAAAACAAAACAATAAAATTAGTAATTTTAATCACCTTATATTTCTTGATATAATTATGTGTTCTACCCAAGATAGTTCATAAAAGAACAAAATACCTAGAACTTAAAAAATAATTTCACATCAGGATTATATTCTTGAGGGTAAATGAAAATGCAGAGATAAACATTTTCTGGATAACTTTCTTATTTAATTTCAAGGTTGAATTTGTAAAGATTCATTTCTTCGCTTTACTCGAAAAACTTCAGTTGTTTTTCAGTAGGTTCACGTTAAAGGAATACATATGTTGTCTGGAACTCCTTTATTTTGGATTTTCCAGGATCCGATACATAGTCTCGGAAATAACTGAACGCAGCCGAAACTATGCATTTTTTTAAATACCATATCATCACAGAGCCTAATTCGTTTGGAAAATGTAGTTTCAGGCTCAGCTAATGACCCTCTTTCAGATTAAAACAAAAACTCAACTGCAGTACATATTGCAAAGAGATTGTTATTCAACTGGCCCTAACTCCATTCATGGATTGAATACGATACAGGTTTACTTAAGTTAAAAACAGACCATGCATGTTACTGTACAGGGTGGCCCATCCATGTGGACCGAATATTACTCATAAACAAATACATTTTGGGAAAATCTATTTATGGGATGTTATGCATGACATTGCCTCAAATTTTATTGCATATTTGGATAAACCAATTCAAAAGAGGAAAATTGATATAACATACTATGGGGTTTTGGTAATTAGCTATAAGGTGTTTTGTCTAGAACTTCGGCAACCCCTCAGTCCGCCATTTTGAAATTTGGAGTGCTGAATTTTGTATCAAAAAACCTACATACCTCAGCTTTTATCTTATTTGTTACTTTTTCGAATTGTAATTTTTGCTCATACAGGGTGGTCAAAAACCCAAATTTTAGTAATTGTACCCTGTATATTTGTGCAAGTTTGGATCCAATTTTTTATAAGCTTTTTTTTGACACTAGACACATAAGGGTTTTTACGGCTATATTATATGGCTATATTACGGTTATTTTTTCGTCTTTTACGTAACGGCTTAATTCCCTAAAATATCGCATCATCCTTGGAAACAAATAAGCTAAACTGCCAAAATTAGCTTTGTGAGCATTATAATAAAAACGTGTTTGAAAATGGATTTTTCTAAAGAAGAAATGGTGAATATGGAAACGATACCCTAATATGCGACATTCAAGGCCGGAAACATTTTCCATACTACGAGAACGTTCTGAATCAAATGGAGCAGTGGAATATAGTATAAAATGTATAAATAATCCAAGTGTGACCAATGAGGCGAATCAGTTGGAGGTTTTATTAAAGTTGCAGGAAAATCCCCATTTAAGTGCACGGCAAATTGGAGCAGAAACTGATATATGTAGAACTTCTGTCCAAAGGATTATTCACAAGTATAGGTACCATCCATACCACCTATGATTGCTTCAAGGCATTCGTTCTCAGGATTTCGCAGCTCGAATGGAGTTTAGTATAATAATGCTAAATAGGTGTACAGTCAGTGAAGACACTACTTTCCTGGATAAGGTTCTTTTTAGCGATAAGGCAACTTTTAACAGCATATGTGTTGTCAACAGGCATAACATGCACTATTATGCGACGGAAAACTCTTACTGGGTTAGGCAAATAGATTTCCAAAATAAATGGAGCTTGAACGTTTGGGGAGGAGTTATTGGCAGGCAAGTTATTGGGCCTTTCTTTTTCGACAACAGATTAACAGGTACAGAATACTTGAATTGTTTGATCGAGCCTTTGCCTTTGCTTTTTTAGAATGTCAACCTGCAAACTCGGATGCATATGTTCTTCCAATATGATGGCGCACCTGCGCGTTATCATAATCGTGTGCGTAACTATTTAGATACCTGGAGTAACAATCGTTGGATCGGTCGTGATGGGCCTATATCTTGGCCTCCTAGATCACCAGATATGACACCGATGAACTTCTTTCTATGGGGGTCCGTTAAGCAAGAGGTTTATGGATATCCACCATTTACCCCGGAAAATATGAAGGGAAGGATTAAGGATGCTTTTCTGAACATAAAGGGACAAACACATGCTGAGGGACGTGCAACGGTTATTTATCCAAAGACTACGGCTGTGTATTCAGCATGGTGGAGATATTTTCGAGCAGTTTTTATAGATTAGGTCTTGAGTAGTGATAGTTGTTTGTTAATGTTGTTGTTATAGTTGTTTTCAATATTATGCTTGAAGCTGATTTATACTGTTCTGATTGTTATTAGTTTTCACGTCAAATCTGTACTCTTAGTGGCAATATGGAACTAGCTCACTGTTTGTCTTTTGTTTCCATGGATGATGTGATTTTTTTCCATAATTTTGGTGTGTTGTTCTATTAAAAGCTTAATAACTCAAAATCTAGTGATTTTATCTGAATCAAACCTCATACCAAAAAAAGCTTAATTGAATCCAAACTTGCACAAATATACAGGGTGATGCATTTGAAATTTTTGAGAAAAAGTACAATTCGCGTTTTTGACCACCCTGTATGAGCAAAAATTAAAATTCGAAAAAGTAACAAATATGATAAAAGCTGAGGTGTGTAAGTTTTTTTAGCACTCCAAATTTCAAAATGGCGGATTGAGGGGTTGCCGAAGTGGACGGTTTTTCTGGACAAAACACCTTACATCTCAGTAGCTAATCACCAAAACCCCATAGAATGTTATATCAATCTTCTTCTTTTGAATTGGCTTATCCAAATATGTAATAAAATTTGAGGCATTCCATTTAAAAAATCACAACTTTGATATGTAGGTCAAAATTGGGGCACCCTGTTAGAAATGTGCCCTCAAATGTCATGTATAACATGCCATAAATAGATTTTCCCTAAGGCCCGGTTTTTCAATCGCAAGGTATCTTTTTGATTAGTTAACTATCGCCAGGAAGTTAACTTGTAGTTACCTGCAAATGCGTTTTTTAAGTATTTTAACAGAATCAGATAACTTACCGGAAGATCAACATATATTTATGTTGCAGCCCTGCATCTGCGGTTCTTAGATATCGTGTTCTATGCCTTTTGTGCGTTCGGCATCTATGTCCCGTGTCATACGTCATTCATGATAGTTCGATTGAATGAAATTTCTTAAAACAGCCAAAATAGAAATCCGGAAATTTCATTAAAAACGAATAAAACATAAAAGCTTCGTCAAGCAAGTTTTTTCAAACATTGCTCGTACAAATGCTTAGTAGTAGACCCTATAGACGGCATTATAGAAATGGTGATAAAACAGGTTGCAAATGCAATGTCTAATGAACCGTACTAAGGTCAAAAAACAATTAAGTTGTAAATATCTGCTAAATATCGTATTTTCCACCTATATAACATCACTCCTATAATCTACAATTCAAAAATAAAGGGGATATACAATACCTCTATTCTTGTTGCTAAAATTTTCTGCATGGAGAAAGAGAGCAAATAGAGCTCAAAATTTCTGGAAGAATGAGGAAATGATGCTAATATCATTGGTGATCAAAAATAAAGATGTAATAGAGAGCAAAACAAGTGGCACAGGTACGTGGATACCGAAAAGTTCAGTATGGCAGAGCATCGAACAAGAATTCCAAGCACTAACAGGGTGCCACCGAGAGGCAAAAACTCTACGAGATAAATATTTCAATTTAAAGAAAAAAACTAAAAGCAAATTTGCTACAAACAAAAGGAATATAATCAAGACAGGGGGAGATTCATGCCAATTGCAAACATTCGATTTGATTGATACACAATTACAAGAAATAGTGGGACCACAATTAGAAGGTTTGACAAACAATTATGATGATGACTCTAGTGATTAAGAAGAGGTGGTTATTGAACATGGTAAATCTCATTGCTGTTGATTGAAGCATTTTTTTAATTATTCATTTTTTAGTTCCTGATGCAAAGAACTGTGACAATAGTAAAGTGGTCTTCAATAATGGGAAATGGAGCTCCTATACTCCCCAACAACTGAAGAGGCCCAAAACTACAAAGCTATCATGTATGAAAACAGTACAAAATAAAAAATATATTTCTGTTAACTATCTACTAATGGAAGAAAAGCTGAATTTTGTGAAACTACAAAAAGAAAAATTTATCGAAGAACACAATAAAAACATGGAAATATATCAAAAGAAGGTTCAGCTGTTAGATTTACAGATCAATGCATTGGATAAGTAGAAAACAAAGGATTTATTTTGTTAATTTCTCGAATATTTTCACTTTCACTCATTTTTTTTGTATTTCGCATTTTTGAGGATAATATGTTATTTTAATAATAAACTGTTTTCAGAAAATCATGTTTATTTTCATTCTATAGTTACAATAAATAGAGGATAATTCATATGTCAAGTAGATGTTTGCTATGGTGAAAACATTAGGTGTCCAAAAAGATTGACTGAGTGTCATTTTGAGGCTTGGGACATCTATTTTCAAATCCGTGTGCGCCTTTTTTGGGCACCAACAATTTTGGCCACAACTCTTATCCACTTGTCATGGATTATCACAGATCTTATACTAAACAACTTTGATCTAGTATCGAGTCATTCACTGAGCATCAGTGAATGCATTGAATCGATTTACAAATTTGCAAAATAATTATTAATAAGGTAAGTTCTTATAACATTGTTGATTGCATTTTGTGGCAACCTAATATTTACAGGATCTGTCTCCACACTATCTACTCGTACATGTTAATAGCATTTTGCTGTTCAGGACTAATAGGGGGCATAGCTTCATTATTAGAATAAGCAATATTATGTAGCACTGCTGTTACTACAGTAATTGCTTGAACTGTATCAAGATTAACTCTGTGACCCATAGCTAGAGATGGAAAACTTCTTTTCCAAACTCCATAGCTTCTCTTTATAACATTGAGAATACGATTGTAGATTTCTTCAGCAGGAGTGGTAGTTGTATTTAATGGTGTCATCAAATAGCGTTTAATAGGATAACCTTTGTTCCCAACCAACAAAGAGTTTCCAAAGTGACCTGATTCGAATTGTCTGCAGAGCTGAGAATTTCTGAAAATGTACGAATTGTGGGCTGACCCAGGCTACCGACATACAATATTACAAAGCTTCAAATCTACGTCAGAAACAGTTTGCATGTTCAGTGAAAAAAACTGCTTTCGATTTCTGAAGAGCTCTGCATGGCTTCCTCCGGGAGAAACAATTTTTATAAGCATGCATTCAATTGCACCTATGCATCGAGGAAACCTAGTTATATTATGAAAGGATTGCTTTGCTCTGGCAAGAGCCTCAGGAGTGTCCGGCATTTTTATGTAATTACTTCTTTTACTCGCTAGTACTTTTGACACTCTTCAGACTGTTTTGGATGCAGTTGATTTGGAAACCCCAGCAAAATCTCCAGCAACAGTTAAAAAACTTCCATTGGCGTAATAGCGCAGTGCTAACAACAGCTGCTGTTGGGGTGTTAAGCAGTTATTCCTGAAATGACAAGGTCATGTAGAAATATGGAAATAAACAATAATATATACATCTACCTGCGTGTAGGATATACTAAATCTTCAGAGATTTCGTCCAGGAGAGTTTCTACAGTCCTTTTGTTAAAGACGAAATCTTGCAAAGAAATCGAGGTCATCAAAGTAATTCGGCCGATGGCGGATTATTTTTGGCCTTCTTGCGTCTTCGTCACTGCTATACGCATTCACGTCGTAATCCATAAACATATTTATAGCTTGAATTAATCGATAGATTGATATGGATTTGTTGTAATTTTTTGAATACACGACAAAGTTTATGTCAAAAAACGTCAGGTATTGCTATTTAACTACAACCTTTCTAGTTAACTCATAGATGGTCTTCTGGTTAAAGTTAACTACCGTTTTACTATAAACATGGTCATACTTAACCTGCGATTGAAAAACCGGGCCTATATGTATTTGTTTATGAGTAATATTCCGTCCACGAATGGATGGGCCATCCTGTATATAGAATGGATGTTCGAAAAAACGTACACCTACAATGGAAATGAATATTTAACCATAAGGCGCGGTTGTCAAGGTATTGAGATTACGAAAATCTAAATTTCAAACTTATCATGTCTTCATAAATGACATAAATCACGCTTGTCGAGGGTGGGAAAAGAAGTTTATAACTTCATGAAAGCAGAAGTTGTTCGTAAAAGCTGTAAGTCGTCCCCTAGCTAATTAGCTTTCTGAGCCATACGAGTGAGATTACATGATTTGGTGTAGTATCAAAAGAGAAGTGTCCCTTTGAGATTTCCCAACAAGATTATCTTGTTGTTGTCTCTTTGATTCACCCGTTTTCTTGACCCTTTTCAAGTATTGTTTATAGGAAAAAAACTATACTTTACCCAATTCGTGCAACTATTTTATGGGACAGTATAGGATGATCACGAAGACCAGAAACGGGAGGTTAAGCTGCATAAGAATGGGGTGGCTCTCGGAAATCTAGTGGACCTAGAACATGGCGTAGAGCGTCTGCACATTGAAAACATAGCCTGTCGTAATCTTAGTAAGCATTTCGCTCACCTTTTTCCATGTTTTGTAGATTACTTTGTCGTCTATTAATATTATCCAATATTTCTGCTTGCAACTCTTCCGAAATGTCAAAATTTCAGTTGTTTACAGTAACGATGACAGCAACAGAGAGTGATGCCACATGCCCAGAACCAGAAATTATTTTTTTGCGCAGTGTACATACGAGAGAGATGCGTTATGCGCAGCATCTGAAATTAATTTCCTGTGAAGTACTAACTTACTTCTTGGTCGACATTTTTGACTTCACCCCACTCTACAAGTTTAATCTCCTATCTCTAGTTTTCGTGTGGATGACCATAGTGATGTGGTTACATGAACTTTTGAATAGTTAAAAAACACAAGTATAGTTGCAAATCAGGCGGCACATACTCACCAGGCGGAATATCATACAACTCCTCAACCTTTTTATGGTCCTGCGTATTGCCTGTCGCTGCATGGGCATCACCTTTATCCGAGGGGGAGGAGTTTACATGTCGCTCCGCCACCTGTGGGCGTGGTTCCGGCGAGTCTGGCGAATCAATCGTGCTAACGGTGCTGTTTCCGTTCATCTCGACGGCAGGAGTTGGGGAAGCGGCCGGCGATTGGGCGGTGCTCATCGGCGAATCGGCCTTTGATAGCGGCGGCGATGGAGAGTCGTTAGAGGGCGCTGAGGGGTTAGTGGGAAGCGAGCGTCAAACAATGGTCAACACAAATGTGTCAAAAGAGTTTTGGGTCAGTAAAACGTTCAGTGCGACTGTGTACGGCTGTTTCGACCCTCGCCAATGAGATCTCGGAAATTGATATGAAGTTTGATTGAATTTTCCCAAAATCGTTTTTATTTTTTCCTGACTTAATTTGTAGCGGTATTTCAAAATAAACTGCACATTAACTTGCCACTTTTTCTCCTCTACAATATAGCATAATTAGAATTTCAATATGACGCTTCGTCTCTTGTCCTCCAGCATCAACTTTATTTTTATGGACGACATATTGAATTTTTGCAGAGTTATATAGAGTTTTTAATTCTGTCTACCAACATGTATAATACGTTATATATTGACGATACCAATCTGTAGTTATTTCAAAAAAAGCAGAATTTCTTAGGCAAAACTTTTATTTTTCCTCCTGGCCTAATTTGAGATAGGGTTTCAAAATAAATTGCATGTCCTCATTACTACCTATTCTTCTATACAAGATGGCGTAGTTAGATTTCCAATTCGACTTTTCTTCTTTTGACCTCCATCACCAACTTTGTTTTTTTTTACATGGACGCTATATTGGAATTTTGTACATTTAAATGAACTTTTCAGTCCTAAATTCAGTGATGTATTTTCTTTGTTGGCCATGAATTTATTCTTGGATAAAAATGAAAAGGAAATATAGAGGAATGGTGAAACCTGAACATAAAATGAAAATTTTATTGATGGTAAGAACCATAATAATCATAAATAAGCAGAGGTAAATCATGGCAGATGTTCAAAATTTGAGGTTTGGTCTGGTATACGAAAAGAATGAAATCTGATAATTTCACGGTCTACCTAGAAACTTCCGTTTTTCTGGAATAACTGAGGTTTAGCAGTGTCAATGTATACATTTTTGAAATCATAATTAAACTCTATCCATCTGTGCAAAAACTCGATATGGCGTATACAAGAAAAAATAAAGTTGATGCTGGAGGACAAGAGATGAAACGTCATGTTGAAATTCTAATTATGCCATCTTGTAGAGAAGAAAAAGTGGCGATGTTAATGTGTAATATATTTTAAAATTCCACTACAAATAAAGTCAGAAAAAAAAATTAAAACGATTTTGAGAAAATTCAGTTTTTTCCGCCTCTCCTCGGAAACACTTTGAATTTTGAAGCTTTCTAAGCGGCATTGTGTTGATTACCTAAATACACAACTTTGCCCCATTTAAGCGACTTCGTATCTCTTACAATTTCCGATATACCAATGGTGAGGGTCGAATTTGAAACACCCGGTATAGTATGTGCTGCTGCTGACCGACTGTAATAAGCAAGTACTTTATCTATCCTGATAAACTCTTCGTTTCAATACATTTTATATCAAAGTTCGTTAAAAGGAAACTATTGTAGGAATTTATAAAACTATTATTTGCTGGACGGCAGCTAAGCAGTAGCATTGGCGTTGACACTACCTTGTAGTTTAGATTGTTGTTTGATACCAGGTTTCAGTTACTCGGTGATGATTATACAGCAAGACACCCTTTCATTTTGTCCTGTTTATGAAATATATAAAGGAAATCAAACTCACAATAAAAATTTATACTTCGCCACTGAGCCTGAACCTGTTAGGTTGGTACACTGTATTGTTGCCTGCATTAAGTTAGTCACGGTATCGCGGAAATTATGTATTCTTCGGACAATAAGCATATTTATCTATCTCTCTTTAAAAGAGTAGTCTTCGTTCATAAGTACAGTGAAATACTTGCTTAATGCTTGCAAGGAGACATTTTACCATTGTCAACCAGTTGTTTTGGCACTCAGGATTATACCAGCCAATAGGCAACCCTTGATGAATTTATGTTCTCTAATAACGAACTTTGATATAAACTGCATTTGAATCATGTAAAATTCATGAAACTTACAAAAAATTAAAAGAATTACTACAGAAGAATCGTTACCTCTATATATTTCGTAATATGGACTTTGCTGACTCTATTGATGCATCTCTCGAGTCTGGTATTTTTTTATGTTTTTTGTTCTTTCATATTTTCAGTGGGTTAAAATATTTCGCGAACTATATAATTCTAAGATCATGTAATTATTGGATAATGTTCTGTTTTTGTATCTAGGAACATTTTTCCACAGCTATGACTCCTATATTATCATTGTTTCAAATATTGTAAAATATGGCTTACTATATAATCAGTTAAAGGGGCGGAGCTGATAAGCAAGGGTATTGGTCCTTTTGAAAAATAAATCCGGTGAATCAAATAATAGTCTAAATTCTAATTATAACAGTTATAAAACTGAATAAGAAAGGACACGTTGCTTATTAACTATGCAAATAAACTAATTCTGACTGAATGGATAGGCAAATTTCAATTTTATTTAGAATCATGTTTTTATTTGCGACTTCACACCAATCATTTATTTCCAATCCAATTTAGTGCCCGTTTCTAAGGAGAATTAATTGTATATCAACAACGAACATTTTACTGACACAAATTATGTGATATACAGATGAAATCGAATTAGTATCTCCATCACAGTACAACGTTCGACATGCATTGATAACTGCTTGAAAATTACATGCTGCTATTCATTGTAAAGTATCTCAAACACAACTTACGTTTTGTTGTGTGTGTTGTATCCAAAGAATTATTCATGATGAGTTCGGACGAGTTTTTGAGAGTTGATATTGTAGATCGTGGGAGACTTCCTGTGGTGCCATTCGTTTTCTTGATAGTATAAGATCCTCGCTGACTATCCGTTGCTAGTTTGTCAACTATCGATTCCAGTTCATTGTATACCTGGAAAAACGTATGGTATACTGGTATAATTTTATCATTTTTTACACTTAAGCAAAAACCTTATAGTCACAGGGACGTAGCAAAGAACCTAGAAAATAGGTTAAAGTGCGTTATTTAGAAATGAGCGAATACGAATGAATCTACAAATTTTTCAGCGTTTAAAAGTTGAAATTCAAGGTGTTTGTGATAAAATGTTATATGAATATTTTTTCAATGATGCCGCTATTTTAGCTTTGTCTTATCTAACCGTACAACAATTTTAAGATAAAACGCATTGGGATTTTTAGAGGAATGTATAGACTTCAATTTAGGCATTTGACGACCTACATACAGTAATTTTCGTTGCTTGAAATTTTTATATATTCGAGACATTGTATTGAGAAATGTTTTTGTGCGAATCAAATCGCCGAGTGTGCTCCCAAGATAATTCCTGTGACATTAATATGAGTTCTTATAATACAGCCTAATATTTGTTGTGTAATTTTAGATTGCACCAAAGCAAAATAGAAATGTTGAAAAAACTGATTATATGCGGCTTACCTCAAAATTTTTAAAATATTTGGCATAAAAAGTTAACGACAATAAAATACCGAAATCCGACCGTATGAAATTTGGAATAACTGGAAAGAAAGCTGACATCCCCATAATCTCTGTCGTATTTGAGCTGTCGATATGACAACTATGCAGAGTCTATGTGTACGAGGTTTGTCCGGAAAATACGTATAAAAGTGGAATAATAACTTTATTTTACAATTGTTCAGGTATTTCAATAATGTCTCCATTAAAGTACCCCCCCTGAGATAAGACGTACTTCTGTCAATGCCGTTTCCACTGTTGATACGTTCGCTGAAAGCCTTCAATTTTGAGGCTCTTCATTTACCGTGTCGTTCCTGCCTTGATGGCTTCACATTTCCCAAGTGCCGACCCCGAAGCACCATTTTGCATTTTAGGAACAGAAAGAAGTCGCAAGAGGCTAAATCGGGTGATTAAGGCGGGTGTTCTATCCCGGGAGGGACAAATTCCTAGTGAACAATGCCCCGAGAATCAAAGAAAACAATCAACATTGTTTTCACATTGAATCTTGATTTTTTCGACTTCTTTGTTCTCGGTTCCCCTGCTTGCTTCCACTCCATGATTTGAAATTTCCACGACGAATTCGTAGAACCACGACTCATCTCCAGTGATGAACCGGTTGAGAAAGTCCTCTGCTTCCTACCAATCCTCACAGCAAGCATCCCTGCTTGCTTTCTGTTCTGGAGTCAAGAGCTTCGGAACGATTTTCGCCCACCTTTTTTTCCTTTCAAGTTTTTCCGTCTCAATTCTTCTAACTGTCGACGGTCTTTAAGAACACAGCCCCGAATTCATTAAACATTTCCCTCACAGCTCGATGTGGAAGGGCGACCTGAGCGTTGGTCATCTTTCATATCTTCTCGACATTCCCGAAACCTTTTCAACCACTTGTTGACTGTTGGTTCCTACAGAGAATTGTCTCCGTAAAGTTGTTCCACACACTAAAAAATCTCAAGATCATTCTTGCATAGCTTTGCAAGAAACTTGATGTTGATGCGCTGTTCCTCGATCAGAGAGAGCTCCATGCCGACGGCCGGTAAAAAAAGGGTTACTTTCAACAAGCACACGTAAATCCTACTTACTCACAGAGCGCTCCGGCTCGAACTGAGCATAGAGAGGATTGCATAGAGAGAGGGAACCACCGGGCCTCTCCTCCACAACGCCTTGACACGTCAATTTTGTATACGTATTTTCAGCACAAACCTCGTATGTTATATTTGGAAAAAATATCTCCAACCCTCGTGCTAATTCCTAAGCAGAAAAGTAGGTTTATATCATTTTATCATCAGCGTCAGAAATTTTTATTAATTAAATTGTAGGTTTTCTGGGTCAAGTTCTTTCCTGAAAAAATATCGAGTTGAACCATATGAAGACTGATGAAGAAGGGACTGAAGTTGGTGGAAAAGCAAATGAGGTGAGTGTATAACATGAAGAAAAAGGATTTTGTGTCACAGCCATTTTAAAGATAAAAGACTATACTATTTCGATACAAGAAAAACTGACAAAAGAACTATATGAAAAAATAGATAAACTAAATAAACAAAGTGAGAATTTACAAGATACATCTGCAAATAACAGTAAATCTTATGCAGACATGGTCAAAAGTTCTACACATGAAAACACCAACATTACTTCGCCATCTCCAAAAAAAAAACGGTAAAATATACTAAAAATATAAACACAACAACACAACCGGAAAATACAATTGTTATTAAACCTAATAATACAAATCAAAGTTGTACACAAACAAAGAAGGAATTGAGCAAGTATATAAATCCAGCAAAAATGAATTTGTCTATTAAAAAAGTAAATGATCTGAGAAATGGAGCACTGAAAATTGAATGCAAGGATATCGATGATATCAAAAAGTTAAAATTGGAAATAGAAAAAAGTGTTGGATAGAATTATAAAGTAAATGTAGGCCACAAAAAATTACCAACGATTAAAGTCGTGGGTTTCAGTGAAGACTTAAACAATTAAGAATTGGTTAGAGACTTAAAAATGAGAAACAACGCTATAAATAGTGATGCTTCGATTAAAGTAGTGGCAATCAAAAAAATAAAATTTCGGTATATGGCAATTTTGGAATTGGATAGATCAACATTTGAAGCAGTAATGAAAGCAGGAGTTTTGTTTGTATCTATGGATGTTTGTACATTTTTTGAGCATTACGATTTTCTGAGGTTTTATAACTGTGGCGGATTTCACCACACAGCGAAGAATTGCACCAAGACCAGTTTTTGTTTAAAATGTGGTAATAGTGATCATAAGGTTCAGACTGTACGATATCCAAAGATGAAGTAACATGTCCAAATTGCAGGGAATCAAATTTGAAGTACAACACAAATTTCGATATAAATCACTCATCCTTCCACTATACCTGCAACATGGTCCAAATCGAATATGAAAAATCAAAAAATAAAGTTTCTTATGGTGACAAATAGCAATTAAAGGCCAAAAAATATTCTAACAATGTATACCATATAAATATTCAAGGATTTTTATCGCACAGGGATGAAGTTATAAATTTTTTAATATTAGTAAAACCATTAGTTCTTTGCTTGATTGAAATACATATTACAGAAGATATTGAAGATATGGAGATTGATATTCAACATTATGATGTTATAAGAGTAAACATAGCTTCGAAACACACGGGTGGCATACTAATATTCAAACTGAGTATGACTGAAGTAAAAACACATAATACTGTACTTGTTGATTATCAATGGTGGTATATTAATTTTGAAATGAAGATGAAACAAAATTAAAATGTGCAAGTTTACTACAGATCTCCAAGCTGTAATATTAGCCGATTTTTGGACTTTTTTTAGAGTGTTTGTGAAAAATATAAATATTGATAATCAAGATTTTTATGTAAAAAAGTTTAAACAAGTACTGAACTTTCATGGTCTATGGCAAAAAGTTAATGACTACACAAGGATTACAAACTTTTCACGAACTAAGATCGATTTAATAATAACCAATGAACCTAATGTTTTACATACTCCAAAAATAAGCTACCATTCGTGGATATATTTCGAGGTGGAAAATATGTTTAATGACAGAGAATCAAGAGAAATCACAATTATTGACTTCGAAACGTTACGAGAGTCACTCTTACAAGCCAATATCACTGAAATGTTTAATGATGCTGACACTTACTTCTAAAAAATTATGGATTGTATGGAGAACTGCCTGAGAGACGCACAAATTAGGAAAGTGGTATATCAAAGGAAAAAGTCAACACTATGGTTTTCACAAATATTTCTAGACTCTAAATTGACGCGTGATAATGACTTTAAAAAGTTTATGATCACTCAAACTGAAGAAGATTGGATACAATATAAGAAATCAAGAAACAAGTGTTTAACAAATCTTAGGAACGAAAAGAAAAAATATTATGAAAACAAAATCGATAGCAATAAAAATAACAGTAAAATGATGTGGAAGACACTAAAAAATATTGTATCTCCCAGTAGGAAGAATGAATTATCAAGAATGTGCTTCGAAGATGGTATAGTAATACAAAAAATATTGATTGCAGAACGAGTGAACCCTTATTTTATAGAAACTATAAATGAGATAGTGGAATCAATCGAAGATGGGGATCCAAATCTATGTCACATGCAAGTTACTTGTGATTCTTCTATGAGAAAATTCCAAACAATAAATATCAGCTACCTTTCAAAAGCTATTACAAGATTGAAATCGAATAGAAATCCTAGTGAACATCTTTCAAAAATGGTTATGAAGGAAGTTTCAACATGATTGGCGAGAAGTTATTATTGTTAGTGAATCACTGTTTAGTGTATGGCGAATTTCCTTCAAAATTAAAATGTTCTACAATTACTCCTGTTCCAAAAGTGCAAAATTCTGAGTTATATTCAAACATGCGGCCAATTGATGTACTGCCAGATGTCGAGACGCTCTTAAAAGGAATCATACATGAACAAGTCATTGAATATATTGAAGAAAATAAGATATTGACAAAATCTCAAGCAGGATTCAGAAAAAAGTTTTCTACTGAAACAGCAATTCAAATGGTAGTAGAAGAATGGAGGCGAAGAAATATGGATGAAAAAAAAGTTTACAGTAACATTGTTCTTAGATTTCAAGAGCATTTGAGACTATTGACAGGGAGAAATTGTTAACGAAATTGCAGTGCTACGGATTTCAAGGTTTAGTATTCAACTTATTACCAAATTATTTAATCAATAGAAGTCAAAGAACTAACATTGGCAATACATTATCAAACATTAAACACATTTCGGTAGGTGTGTCACAGGGTAGCAAATTAGGTCCATTACTATTTATTTTATATATTAACGATATTCCTGATATTTTACAACACTGCAAAATTCAACTATTTGCTGATGATACATTAATATATATATATATATATATATATATATATATATATATATATA